CCCAGTTTTGCCGACTCCGCCCACATTTTTCTAGGGAAATTACGTCATTTTTGCTTCCAACCAATCAGACGTGATGACGTCACTTCGGTGTACTAAAAAAAGGAACATGTACAATGTCGAGCTAATGGCGAATTCCACTTGGCGTTTTGGAGCGCGCCGGGATCAGTCGACCAGATCCGGATTGGAGCACAAGATCCGAACGGGGTCGCGCCGCCTACGGATCCCCAGTGGAACATGACCACTGCTCCGGGATCGGCGGATGCCTTCCCGTCATTCAACTGCCCGGGAATCCCCTTTTCGCGGCCGCCGCGGTCGTTTCGAAGACGTTTTCGCAATCGCGGTGCTAACACGTGCTCGACGCACGAGTGGCAGGAATGGCTCAGGCGCTTCTAGCAAAGATTGCCGGAATGCCCGTAGCGCCTGAAAATACCTTCTCTTCTCCTCCCTGGAAAACGAACCGGCTGTCGAGCCAATGGGTAAGTAAACATCCATTACGAATTCTTCTGATGTCAAGACAATCTAGGAGCCCAGCCCGCGACGTGCTTCTTCTTCTTCTAAGGCGACATGCCCCACGAGAAAAGAAGTCACGTGTGTGCGCCGAGGACTGGCCCGGCTGGCTTCAGGTTAAATCTGCCGAAATCGTGGGAGCGACTTTTCTCGTGGCGAATTCCACGGGTCGTTTTGGAAGCGCGCCGGGATTGACTCTTCCGGAGCGAGCCTATTTCACCGGGAGATCGGGATCGAGACGAACGTGTTCCACTGGTCGTTTTGGATTACCTCCCGCTCTAGATCTCGATCTGGATCCGGGAAAAGTCGCTCCCCCGATTTTGGCGGATTCAAACGGAAGCTAGCCGGGTCAGCCCTCGGCGCACACACGTGACGTCCTTTCTCGCGGGCATCTCGCCTGGGGTGCTATTCTGGTCACAAACGGTCACGTTCGTGTTTCTCGAAAACTCCTCCCCCCTACGAACCGCGCGCTCCTATTGGCCACAGCCGGCGTGATAATTCCACGCGGTTCCCATGGGAACGTTCGCGAAACACGAAAGCAACCGTTTTCCGTAACTGTCGCTCTTCGAGTTCGGACCGTGACGACAAAGTGACGTATGACCACGTCCGACCTACGTAGCACATAGCGGAAGTCGCGTCACTAGATTAACTGCGGTATTACTCGACACACCCTACTCTGTTTCACTATGAGTGCGAGCTAGTGCGGGTGTAGGAGCTACAAGAACGTGCTCCGGGCTTTCAACGTCCCTGTCGAGTAGGCGCGCTTGCGCAGTGCAAGCCAACGTTCGTGCCAGATCGTTCGGGGTGATGCGCTCGTGCTTTTAACCTCTCTTTCTATTGCACGAAGGGGAACAAGCTTTGGGCAGGATTCTAGAGCGTAGAAAATGGCGGCGATGCTTGTTGCTCAACGATGGCTCGACCAACGCGTACAATGACGGGTTTTCCGCGAACACCCGGTTGCCTTCGCGATGCACGACGACTGTTTCTGACGACAATACCGCTTGTCGAAAAGCACCGTGTGATCGCAGTGTGACAACGAGAGACGGCGACGATGAGAGATGATGACCGTCGAGCAGCAGCAGCTACTAATTGAATCGCACTGAGATTTTTCGCAACGGGGAACTACAAGGGCGTGGTTGCCTCCGATGATCACATAGCTAATGCCCAGTGGATGGTGATCAGAGCCGTGACGGCCGTCGTGAGTATCGCTGTCAACCGGCTGGGAAGAGGCGGTTGGGTCGACAAAACCCCGGACCGAGGAAGCTGAGGCATGTGCGAAAGAAGGCTTTCGTCGCCACCATGACAAGCACACCGACGTCGTCGGGTGCGTTGACTAAACTTAGACTCTAACTAAACCTTCGTCACCGTCATCATCGGTCTGAAGGAGACCGTCACCATTCTGAAGGACTCCAACACTTTGCCGCAAAACACCATTTTGCCATTAACAACATGGTGGTAAGTTGACGTTTAAACTTCAGGGTTTCTACCGCTTCGAAGTTAGTGCACACTTAGTACCTATGTCTTCAGTTGACAATTTGTTGCGGTCTGTAGCTACTGTCAATCACGCAATAAAATCTGGATGGGTTGCTGATGGCATTTTGTTGTATCAATTAGATATTTTACCTTTTCACGCCAAGCTGCTGGAATTGCAAGTCAGTCATCGGAAAGTCATAAGAACACTTTTCGATGCCCTGCAATAAACTACGAACAGGTCTGTCCTAAAATGAATCGTGACTTGTCTAGACAGCAGCAGTTTAGTCTGACAGAGTATGGTAACATTGTTACCCACTGTAGACGAGAAATTTAGCCAGTGTCTTGTGGATGGTTGTCATCTTCGTGACCAAGAAAAAAAAATAAAAATAGAATTTTCCTACATTCAACACACATGTGTTAAATGTAAAGGTTATTATAGCAATTAAATAGATTGTCGTTTCAAAAGTGACAGTAACTCATTGAAATTAAAGAGTAGCGTGTGAGCTGGATTTTTGAAATTTGCCTTTGACGCAGAGCATATACGCACTGTTAACTTATCACCATCAAGCATAAACGACAAGCGGAGGCAGAGTAGATGTGTGAAGGAAAAGCGAGTATATGTACTAAAGAAAGAACTGCTACGTAACGTGAAGAATGTCAGCAACTATCTTGCCCTTGTGGTACGAGCTCAGTGGCTATGCACTTGCTTATAGCAGCCTGTGAATGTAGGATGCTCCCCTTATGTGGCAAAGCCAGAGGGGGGGGGGGGGGGGGGCGGGGCAAGGGGGGGGGGATTTATGGGGCTTCGCTCCTTCCCTCCCCAAATCCGGCGGGCCCTAGAATATACACACAAATTCCGACACCATCCCCCCCGCACCCCAAGTCATGAACATCCCAGCCACCTCAACCCCCCTCCATCCTCACCCCCTTAGAAGTTCCTGGCTACGCCACTACTATCAACAGCACTCAATAGATAGTCAACATTATCAAGATAAACGAAATTTATTTTATTTTATGCACCATATAGGAAGTGTTTTTGTGTTTATATGCATGCAGCCAAAGCACACACTGTAGAAAACACTTGTGTGAAGCCTGCGTTCACAATGCAGTCCCCGTCAAACTTTCAAGGCGTTAACGAATTCCACAAATTAAATTTTCAACGAAACGAATTCGTTTTGCAAAACGCTGGCAAACTTACTTTGCGTTTTACATCATTCACCTTTGTCGTCCGATGAATCAGTAGTCAGCACTACACAAACCTCAATGAGCTTGTCGTTTGTTTTCTTGCCGTTGGGGCGATCGCTGGCGGTCGTGGCGGCGGCAAAATTCTTTCTCAGACCGTTGGCTGCTGCCTCCGTGCTCGCGGAAACGTGGTTCCCTTTGTGTCAAGATGAGGTTTTGAATCTTAATGCACGGCAACGCTGAATAAAGGTCTATTACCGTCTTCATAATCTCAGCAACGCTACCGTACGAGCCACAACACCACCACTTTCAAGCTTCATAACACCGGCACAAATAGAAGCCAAGTCTTGCATCTCGCCAAGCGTTACATCGGAGACGTTAAACGCCAGCTCAGTGTGCTCTTCGACCCGGTCCTGCCGCCGAATGGGCTCATCCAACAGCACGAAAGTATTCGTGTGCGCGTTGATCAAGTGACCGATCGCATGTCAAACCCCAGCCGCGGTCGATCCAACGAGCATCGCGGCCATGTTCTTTCGAGTTTAACTCGCCAAGGGTACGGTTGTCGAGTTAAAACAATGCAAATAGTCCCGTGCATTCTTGTTCTTACGTCATTTTGTCGTCACAACCCGAACTCGAAAAATGACTGTTAGCGGCAAACAGAGGCTTTCTATAAGTCGGTTACAGGTTAAGAAAAAAGCTGGAGCTCCGCCCACAAGCGTAAAGCGCCGCTTGAAATGCCTACGCCGTCAAAGAAAATAGCTCCCTAGCAACGCCGTTTTATCCCTCTCAAAGAAACGTCTTCTAGGCCAATACATAAATAATTTAGTTTATTCACGATACTTAAAGAAGTTGAGATACGTTATTGTCCACGTACGGGTTCAGTATTAATGGACAGGGGTCATGTCTAATGTTCCGCCTTCTAACTGACTTCCTGTCTAAATAGCTGTCTGAACTTCTGTCTTCCAGTGGTTTCGGTTTCGGTAGTCGAGAACCAGACTTTTTTGAAAAACTAAAAAAAAAGAAAGGACATTATTATTTCGTAACTAATGCAAATTACCTTATTTTTCTTAGTTTTATATACTTCATAGATGAATAGTGTATGTTTAGTTGATTTGTTGAATAGAAACTCTTTTGTGTTTCCGGTTTCGACGAATTCGCGATTTGGAAAGTCGTTCTCCGGTTGTGTGTTCCACATGTTTTCCGTCATGGATCCCAACGAGGAAGCTGCGGAAAGTGATTCTTCGGATTCTTCTTGGTCGAGAGACCTACCGTCTACGCCAAAACGCTGGTTCAAGAAGCACGAGAGCGGCCACATCTTGAACAGCGGCCAACGAGAGCTCCTTCTTAACATGTACGTTCAATGGGGTATACGGAGCCCGACCTCGACGTGATTGAGGCCTGCAAGGCAGTCAGCAAACTGGCAGGTGTCAGCGTGTCCAGTGTGCTTGCAATCAAGAAGGAGGCAAGTGCGAATGATGGGCAACTCGCGTCACCCTCTCGGAAGCGGCCAACAAATGCAGGCAAGAAGCGGCGTGCTGCCAAGTACGGTGACCTCGTGCTGTGTGCCTTAAGATCGTGTGTGCATCGGTTTTTTTTCGCCGGAACGAGATGCCCACGGTTGAAAAGATAGCAGCCGAGTTCCGCACAAGCCCAGAACTCCCCTCGCTGCAGGCGTGGACCGTGCGTCGTCTCCTTCTTGACATTGGCTTCAGGCGAGAAAGGAGGGCTCGAAACTCGCTCATGGTCGAGCGAGACGACATCGTCGCTTGGCAGCAGGCGTACCTGCGGGACATCACGCGTCACAGGCAAGAGGGCGCCAGATTTTTTACCTCGACGAGACGTGGGTGACGGCCGGGCACACTGCCTCGACGGTGTGGGTGGACAGCACTGTGACCTCGTCCCACGACGCCTTCATGCGAGGTCTCACAACGGGCCTGAAACAGCCGTCGGGGAAGGGCCAGCGCCTCATCGTTACGCATATCGGCAGCGAAGATGGATTTGTCCCTGGGTGCCTGGACGTCTTCCGCGGCAAAAAAACCGGCGACTACCACGAGGAAATGGAGGGCCCTCGGTTCGAAAAGTGGTTCGACGATGTCCTCCAAAAACTGCCGAGGGGCGTGTCATCGTAATGGACAATGCCCCGTATCATTCCCGGCGGTTAGAGGCGGTGCCGACGAACAGTTCCCGGAAGGAGCTCATCCAGGGCTGGCTCACGTCGAAAGGTATTGCTTGGGACGCCAAGATGCTGAAGAGGCAGCTCCTTGAGATCGTGTCGTCGGTCAAGCCGCAGTACGTGAAGTACCGTGTGGACACTGCTGCAGAAAGGGCTGGTTGCACAGTGGTCAGGCTTCCACCCTACCACTCTGAGTTCAACCCAATTGAACTCATCTGGGCACAGATCAAGAATCGTGTCGCAGCCCGAAACACAATGTTCAAGATTGGCGACGTTGAGAGACTCCTCAAAGAAGAAGCTGAGCATGTCACGGCTAGTAACTGGTGCAACGCTGTGAGGCATGTCGTCGAAATGGAAGAAAGCTTCAAACAAGGAGGAACGACAAGTGCTCACATCGAGCCAATCGTCATCGCTCTTAATGAAGGTGACACTTCTTCTGAGAGTGACATGTCCAGTGTGGGGCCCCTCGACGACCCGTGATGTCAACATCAAGGGGGATCAACCCTAAAAACAGAACGGTCCTTTTAAGGACCACTCATATGCTGTAAAATCAGATGCGTGTCGTACACGTCTCCCGTGTCTCATGTTGTTGACGTGATGTTGTGCTTCATTACCTCATTGCACTGGTCAAGGCTTTTTGAGGTCTTTAAGGTCTGCCTTACATATTCCACTGGGCCGTAAGTGAGCAGCATAGAGTTTCCAATCCCTCAGCACTGTTCCACTTTCTCGAATCGGCTGGCCCAAAGGCTTAGAAGGTGCAACTCAGAGCTTGGAGTTCCTCCATGCACCTCGACCAATTGGGTAACCGCCTGTGGTAAGCGCAGTTAGAACGGAAACGGAGAGTCCGTATTGATATCTGTATGGATATCACCCCAATTCACAAATTGTGCGGTGCAATAGGGAGGCTGAGCTTATAGGGCTTGCCTACAACCTCAGTCTCCTACTATCATGCCGAGTTTTATGGTTTACATTCTCGTAATGCCGAGCATTACGAGAACAGAGACTCGCGTTAGAAATGGGGAGAGCTAACTTTCACTTGCCGAGATTCGCGCTATTTAACAAGCTTTGCACTTTGTCTGTTTACTTCTATAGCTCGTTTCTTTTAGTACTGTTAATGTTTTATAGCTCTCTCGGATGAGCGTTAACACAAAGAATGTCAGTTCAAACGACACCGGGAAAAGGTAGGTGTCGTGCATACCACTGGTTTTATCCTCCCTACATGCAATCGAAGGTGCAAAGGAGGCCGCTATAGCAATCGTCACTTACCATTTGATTGATAGCGACGAAAACTTGGCAGGAGTTGCACGGTTCACAACTGAGTGAATGACGCCGTACAACGTCGTTTCAGTAGTTACACTTCGTTCATTTATCCACCGTTGCAAGCGAGGGCGCAGGCAATGCCTAGCAAAGGAACCCGGTGCTGGGGGTGCCGGCAGTTCACTCGTGCTGCTAATCTCGCTCATACATACTGTTGTTATCACTGGATGATGAGAGCTGCATTTTCATCTCGCCCCACGGAGTCCACAGGGAAGAAAAACGGCGATACCGGCACTGTATTGACAGGCGACTCGAGGCAGGGAACGCAGACCTCCAACGAGAGGAAAAAAAGAAGACGACGTCAGACGAGCGGCCCAGCGATGCTAAGCCTTGCTTCGAACTTTCCGAGGGCGATACCATCGCCGGATCATCACGTCGTCGCACAAAAGCTACTGCGAACGAAAGTCGTTACCGTTGAGACTTCGCGGCATGGCCTCGCATTAGTAAAATACCGTGGCAAGACCAGCATATTCGCTGAAAAATGCTGGTGTCCTGTTGCTAGGTCCAGGCTGCCATGTTGGAAGCTTTCGTCCGGAAAAAATCAGGATTGGTCCGCAGAGGCCGTGACGTCACGAGGACGCTCGGGCGCGATTGGCGGTAAGTTGACGGCGGATGAATACATATCGACAAAGATGAAAGAGCGTGTTGGTGAAAATACGGGAGTCAAAGAAAGAATAAAAACACTTAAGGACAAGGACAGACAGCACAGTTCTTTCAACTAGCAACACACATTTACTGGTGTCTCCTTCAATAGTGCTATCTTCTTCCTAACGTTTGAGACTAAAGAGGAAGATGCGGAATTAATATATTCATATACACCCGGAAAAAAAAACACAAATTTACACCCAATATACTAAAGATAAAGAATTCAGAAAGAAAGAAAAAAAAAAGAAAAACACTATTGACAAATTGAGATAGAGCGCCCTTTGGCTAATCCAGCTCTGGTTTCAGGTAGTTGATCTCATTTCTGGACAAGGCGAGAGAAGGGGCAGCAATGTTGTGATCGTCATGGGCTATCTTGTATGCCTCAATGATCTCTCTCCCGAGCTTGTTCTTATGTCTCCCAATCGTGCAGGTGTCCTGGAATCGGGCTTCACAGTTCGTACAGAGACGTTGATGAACCACTATTGGGTGAAAAGTGTCGTCCGAAGCACGAGAGACCTCGAGGACGTGCTCTCGTAGGCGCGTGTTAAGGCAACGACCTGTCTGTCCAATGTATCGGTCGCCACAGGAGAGAGGGATGGAGTATACCACCCCCGAGCGTGTTTGATGGAACATCTTTTGATGGATTCGTTATTGTTCACGCGGCGCATAGACTGAAGGCAATTGCAGCGCGCTTCAACGTTTCGGTTGTCTTCTCGTGCAAGTTGCGCCTGAAACATCTGTGCAGGCGCGTGAACAATAACGAATCTATCAAAAGATGTTCCATCAAACACGCTCATCAGACCGTTCCCTGTGAAGAGGGGGTGGTATACTCCATCCCTCTCTCCTGTGGCGACCGATACATTGGACAGACAGGTCGTTGCCTTAACACGCGCCTACGAGAGCACGTCCTCGAGGTCTCTCGTGCTTCGGACGACACTTTTCACCCAATAGTGGTTCATCAACGTCTCTGTACGAACTGTGAAGCCCGATTCCAGGACACCTGCACGATTGGGAGACATAAGAACAAGCTCGGGAGAGAGATCATTGAGGCATACAAGATAGCCCATGACGATCACAACATCGCTGCCCCTTCTCTCGCCTTGTCCAGAAATGAGATCAACTACCTGAAACCAGAGCCGGATTAGCCAAAGGGCGCTCTATCTCAATTTGTCAATAGTGTTTTTCTTTTTTTTCTTTCTTTCTGAATTCTTTATCTTTAGTGTATTGGGTGTAAATTTGTGTTTTTTTTTCCGGGTGTATATGAATATATTAATTCCGCATCTTCCTCTTTAGTCTCAAACGTTAGGAAGAAGATAGCACTATTGAAGGAGACACCAGTAAATGTGTGTTGCTAGTTGAAAGAACTGTGCTGTCTGTCCTTGTCCTTAAGTGTTTTTATTCTTTCTTTGACTCCGAATACATATCGATGTGCAGCTTTTTTCTTAACCTGTAACTGACTATAGTTTCACGAACGTTTCCATGGCAAATGGCGTTGAATCGTCACGCGCAATGAAGCCAATGGGAAAGCGAGGTACCTATGTAGGGACGTGTAAAAACGTACAAGCCGTTTTTTTTTTTTTGCACGAGCTATTCTGCAAATAAAAATAAGTAAAAAAGACTGCCCGAGATTATGCCGTCGCGTGCATTTTTTCAGTGCCGAAAGAGAAGATCATGGCTTATGGCATAATCACTGCAGTGAGCAAAGGAGCAAAGCATTATTAAAACTGCCCGAAGAAACTTTCCTGCATCACCCACACAATGCTCACAACCGTTGCACTCTGCGTCGATCTCATGACTTGTCATATACTACCACAGAGTCGTCGTCAGCTCTGTATCCATTTGAAGTCTCCTTCACTGGCAAACAGGAAATTTCAGTTGTAGCTTATGTTCACGGCGGCTTCACAAAGGATGATCGGTGTCGCAGCGCACCTTCACGTAATATTTTTTTTCTCGTAATGCCATCCGTATCGTGCAGAAGCAGGGAAAGCAACGACGCAAACAAGACACAAACACCACAAGGTCGTTACCGCGGTTTTCGCCATGTTTGTTTTCAAAGACCGTAGCGAAAGACTTCGAGAAAAAAAGCTGAGATATCTTAGCTAAATTTACTTTACGTCATAATTATTGTAATAATCTTTCGTATTTTATAAAAGGATAATATTATTTTTCTCTGTTTCCTTCTATTTTCCGGAAGGTAGCCTTTTCTCCGTTATTCGCTCGTTCTAAGTCCCGGAAGGAAGGAAGAAGAGAACAAAAAGAACAGCGGGAAATACAGGGATTTCTTCGCCCCAACTGGGTGGACACGTCACCGCGACGTAGGGCATTGTCAGATTGTAGCTGACCACGTGCGTGAACCCGAACGTTGGGGCGGAGCCTCAAACAAGAATCATTCTAGTTTGAGGCTCCGCCCCTTCTTTCTCGATACGTCACAACCCGAAAGGTACCCGTTTGCGACCAGAATAGCACCCCAGGATCGCTAGGTTGGACATTTGAGAAAAGGTACATGGAAGTGACGTAATGCAAAGGAGGAGCGTATCCTAGCAACACTCACGTGGCGGCTGTGCCCACTTTGACGCCGCTACGTCATCGCAAACTTGACACCCGTCACCCGTTTCAGCGACGTCCGGAGCCAACCACCGACGAGCGGAAGTAGCTACGCATTCCCTGAGGCGTCCCTACGCGCGGGATACGGGGTAGGATTTAGTACGACGCGGGGAGCAGTTCCTGCGTTTAGCGAAGGAACGGCAACCAATCCTGTGCGTCGCTGGCCGTCGCATCTGTTCTAGTACAGGTAAAAGTATTGAAAAACAATCAAAACCTTTTGGGCGTTGTTAAAACAAACCGCTTTTTTGTGTCCTTTTGCAATACATTTAAGAAATAATTGAAGAGAAAGTTGTTCCAATATTATGCGGGATGTGCGCTACGCGCCATCTTCAAACCAAAATGTCGAACCACGAGGAGCCGGGTGTGCCGGGGGCAGCGGAGGGGTCGGCGGAACCAACGGGGAGCGCGCGAGTGACGGCTGCTTTAGTCAGAAACAATTTTTTTATCTTTCGAGAACTTGCTATTGCTGTGCTCAAATAAGAATGTTTGGCGCAACATCTGTGATAATTCTTTCAAAGTGGTCCAGTGTTCATATGGTGGTATGCTAGTCAGAGAATATATATATATATATATATATATTTTCCTTTCAAAATTTAGCTATTGTGCTCAAATAAGACCAGAGTGTTCAACAAGATATCTGTGATATATACTTAAGATTGCCCAATTGCTTACATGGTTCCAGTCGATGCTCAGTTTTACTTCCAAGAATGAAATAATACATTCCATGTTATCACACTTTTATTCATGAAGTCACAGGTTTTTCTTTAAGAAATAAAGCAATTTTCAAAACAAACTACATGTGCACTGTCTTGAGATAACACAATCACCTAACTTTGATGAAGTACCATAAAAGAGATAATAAAATGGAGCAGAAGGCAAGACGCTTTGAAGCATTTGTAAAACGAAACAATGTC